AGTGTCCTGGCGCCTCACCAGCTACCAGACAACTTCTATATTATGGTCCGCATCGGGACTTGAGCAGGCGACCTTCCGGTTCCCATCCCAAGTCCCTACAGACTGAGCTACTGCCGCCCCCTTATGTGCCACTGTGACTTGTACGGTAATTGTTGCCAAGGTGTTTGGAAGAAAATATTTATCAAATGTTATAGTTTCTACAGAAAAACTATAACCCGAGGGCCGCCGGTTCAAGTTCAGGTATATACAATTGGTCAGGTATCTGGAGAGGTGCCAGGTCACTTCCAGAGTATTGCAGAGGGGCCCTTGAAGATGTGTGTAAATCGGGTCAAATTGTGTGAGAAGCATGTCTCTCAATAACAGAGTGTTAAACCAGAATTTACACTGGGGATTATTAAAGTAGATTTTTTTAGTTTTTAATTATGTGGTATGATCTAAATGGAGAAGACTAAACAGCAAATAAGTTGTTTTCTCATATTCACTCACAATGCCAACAACTGTGGACGTCACTGTAGAACAACCAAGTCAGCTTTATTAGCCAAATGAGCCACCTGGCCTCTCTAATGAACACTGTAGGCCTAAATAATAAAATACGCAGTGGATGATCCCGGAGTGCGTATGAGGAAAGCAGCTGCCTCGTTGCTGTTCTGAAGGCAGTGGTGCCTTGTTAAAATGCACTCCATCAAAGTTCCCTTTGAAGTAATGGCTGACAGAAGACATAATGTGAATTTGGCTTGACAGGTCTCTCAGACATTTGCCTGGAAAATACTGAAGGAGTGTGTGGAAGGAGGGAACTGGGGTGAAGTCAGGTCTCACAGTGCTTTTGTGATTTCACCCCAGCACAGGCTGCGTTTCATCAAAAAGTTGTCAGTTGCTCTGCAGAAACTTTATATTTCAGAGTGTTTCATTTAAGAGCACAAAGTTAATTTATGCTGCCCGTTGCTGTGTCGCACTTTTTCAAAACTAAAGGATTTAATTTCTCAAATCAAATATGAACACAGTCCTGTAATGGAATTTGATTGAAACCTGCACTATGGCCTCATCCTTGTTTAAAGCGTATTAATTTTTATTGATGACATGGTCACAATTTTTATTATTTGTTTGATCTTTGTGCTGAAGTTTGGATGTGCCATGTAAAAAAAATGTTTTCCCTATTTTAATTTTTTAGCACAGATGAGAGAAAACTTTCAAACTCCTCATTGTAACAACTAAGTTTTGAGTTTGCAGTCAAGAGTTCACCTACTGCAGCTGAATGTGTAATGACTGAAGCAGGGGCAGAAGCAAGGTCATATTTCTTGTATTAAGATACAAAAATCACTGCACATGGAACAGTATCATCACAATGCTTAATGCCTACAAACTCCAATTATTAGCTTTATTAATTTATTGTTGTTTAAAAGATTCTTCCACAAATTGAAAACACTTACTGTGGTGATCTTCTGACTTTTATTGGTAATGCAACAAATGTAGGTTAGTTGGAACTTTTTCCCGTTAAGAACTCCTAAATGGAAACCGTGATGGTTTCAAGAGTGTTTCTATTTCTCCCAATTATTTTCTCCCTTTTACTATCAGCCATGACATTGGTTGGCCATTTATCAGGCTACTAAAACCTTTTTATTTCTGTCTTAAAATTGGAAGTCTTTCTCCGGAGGCATTTCTCCTGATACTAACCTTCTCACTATACATTAACTATACAATTATAACACCGCTCTGTAGCTACACAAATCACTCATCTGAAACAAAGTACTGATTTAGAAATCATTTCAGTGGTTTGGAAAAAAAATTATTGGTTTAAAAATGACACCACCATATCCCATAGCACATACATTTGTACCTTTAAGAAAAAGCTCAAGACCCAGCTCTTTATGAACACATATGCACTTCATGATAGAATGATGATGGTTTTGTTTGATAATTACTATTTTAGGATGGTTTCTATGCTGATTAGATCTGTAGCGTATCTACTTTTAATATCTAATATATATAACTCGGGGCACCATCCTTGTTAAGTAAGGAAACTAATATTACTTGTAGTAATTAATTATAAATCTGTCTCATATCATTGGGATGAATTCTCAAGTAGTAAAAACCATAAAATTACACAGACAAAGTACTGAAAGTTTATATGAAAGTTTAATAAAGAAAAATGATGAACAGAAGAATATAAAGGAAATGCAAAGGTAATATCAGTATAATTACGACAGTGATATAACTTGATTAACAATAAAATTGAATGATTTAGGTTGTTATGGTGAGATCCTTATGTCCAGTTTGGAGTTTAATTGTTTGAGGGATTTAACGAAGTGGGATTTTGAGGAAGAAAAATAAAAAGGGAACTTAATAAATTTGATGAAGTGGACTCTGAGGCTTTGATTCGGATACCACAAGCTTGACTCAACACCCCAATCTCATAATCAGAACGCTTCCTTACTTATGCGTAGTGTTCAATTGAACTCCGCCGAATGGTACCAAGACTTCCCGTCGAGTTCTTTCGGATCAGGAATGCCGATGGCCCACGATAACCGCCGTAGCAGGTCCTGTCGGAGTCGACAATGAGATGGGTTTGAAGAAAAACACAGCGGTCCAACAGTTGTCCGTGGGTCCTTCTCTCAGCAGCTCAAAGAGTCTTAATTAATGTTCGTCAGGATTGACGCTCTGTGATGAACTTGGTTCGAGAAAAGAATTAGCGAGAGACGTCCAAAGAGGGAAGAAAGAGTTTCAGAATAAAATTTGCAAGAAGAGGAAAAGACAAAAGGAAAAACAAAGGCCTGAGCTCCTGAGAGACGAGCTACTTATCCTGAGGATGACTTTACGAGGGGGCGGGGCCTAATATCTAACCCGCCTCCGATGTTTAACTTTTTTAATTGAATCCACTCCGAGTTCTTTACTTATTAAGAGCATAAATAAGAACTTTGATCATATGAACATCACCATGTCAATATTCGTATGTAGGATTATTTCCGTCATTAAGCATTTCAGACAATTATGCAATGAAATAGACATTACATCCAACCTGAAGACAGTTAGACGATTTCCGCCTGTATCATTCCGATGTAAAGTGTCTTTCACAGTTAATCACATGAATGGTTTTTGTTATCTGTAAACAGGAAGAGTGGGGTTTTCATTCATGTCCTGTGAGTTTGGGTTGATTTCAGGTTAATATGTTACAGATCTCTGAAGAACAGCTGTAGATGTTGTGCTTTGCCTCTGGTCACTTCCTGTCAGCACCTGCGTGTCTGATCAGACTTAAAGCTGATTATTTGCTCTTACTGACATTGTTTCCTCCTCTCGAGATCCTTGCTTGTGTTGTACTTACTTTTGTATATGTGTCACTTTGGATAAAAGCGTCTGCTAATTGAATTGTTGAATTGTAGAATGTTCCATCTTCAGTTTTGTAAATTTCTCTGTAATCAGGTGCCATTTTTATATATGTTATCCTCTCCTTTCTCCTTTTCTGACCCTGATCAGACCGTGACAGTTATTCCCCTGGAGTCTGTGACCTAAGGTGCATCGCTAGCATCCGCCAATAAGAATCAAGTATTTAATACAGCATTGTAACAACCAAGGTAATTCAATTTGTTTTGCACTGGTCCTCCAATACTACATTGAATTTAGATCCATCCATCCAATATCTATACCACTTTTCCTGGAGCCGATCCCAGCAGCCATTGGGACCTGGACTGGTCGCCAGTCAATCAAAGGGCTGCCATACAGAGACAAACAACCTATCACACTCACATCTACAGGCAATTTACAGTCGCCAATTAACCTAACAAGCGTGTATTTGGAGTGTGGGAAGAACAATGCCTGGAGGGAACCAACGCATGCACGGGGAGAACATGCAATCTCCACACAGTGAGGTCCTGTTTGACAGGGATTGCAACTAGGAGCCTTCTTGTTGTGAAGCAACAGCGCTAACCACTGCCCCAACATTTAGCCTTGAATTTACATTTCTTTATTACAATAAGGAAAGATATGGTGACCATGGAATCACGGCCCGGAATACCTCAAAGATGTATTTATTTTTGCAGAGGTAATAAAGACTTAAAGTTATGTTTTGCCCTGAAGTAATAGGTTTGTAGACAAATGGCAGGTGTACATGATGCAGGGTTGTCACACTAGAGTCCCTTCCAATGTCTGTTTAAAACACTTTGGTCTAGTGTTGTAGTCAAGACCACACCAAAAGAGACAGAGATATACCTGACGTGGGAGCATGCCTATGTTCCCACAGCCCTATGTTCCCACATTTCTATGATTTTTTTTCCAACAGTAGGCCCTGTGTTCCCACATTTCCTTTTGCATAAATTTGTATAAAATTGTAATTTGTAGGGTAAGTTAACCCTAACCCTAACCCTACCCTGTGGGAACATAGGGCCTAATTTTGAGAAAATTCTTAGAAATGTGGGAACATAGGGCTGACCCCCTGACACTTTACTCTGGACTGTTGGTCTTTGTGCCTCTTACTCACTCACGTCCATCATGATAATATCCAAGTCAAGTTTTAAATATTTGTATTTATGTCTTTGTGCTGTTTTTAAGATGTATGCCTGTATGGACCTCTGTTGCAAACCAAATTGCCCCTCTGGGACAATAAAGATTTTCCAATCCAATCAAATATAGTTAAGAATTATTCAAATGAGTGTGCACTTTGTTGCATTACAGACACAAGTCTGTACCAGTTTTCCTTCTGTTGCAGCCTTTCTGCTGCTGTCGTTCCACTCATAATATGACACTGCTAAAGGAAACAACTTGTTTGTGCTTCTTTACAGACAAAGCTCAGTGATCACACAGGCTGCGCTAATGGGAACAGAAGTCTGACTGTTTTACACTTGGTGGCACAGATGTTATCGGGTCTGTTTACCTGTCCCAGCTGGGATTAGCGTTAATGTGGCAGCTTCCGTTTCGGTCATGGCGGCTCAGTGAATGTCTCCCTGAATGAGGAAGAAGTGTGTAATTGCTGACATCAGTCATTTTTAAAAACGCTTTATGTCCTCCCTCAGTGCCCTCCAGGGCTGAGTCCTATGAAGGATGGGACCGGGTGCTACGACCACCACATCGGCATCGACTGCTCTGACGGCTTCAATGGAGGCTGTGAGCAGCTGTGTCTGCAGCAGCTGGCTCCTCTGGAGGATGACCCCACTCTCTACAACATCCAGATGTTCTGTGGGTAAGAAAGAACACATTCACGGCTTTCTATTTTTGATTACTATCTTATTTCACTGTGCTGAGTCCTTTATACATTCACATAACATCAAGACATGTGAGTGTCTGCAGTGTGTTCTAGGTGAAGCCAAACCACATCAATATATTTTAAAGTATATATTTTCAATTAGTTTTGGAATATGCAAATTAAATAGTTTAGCATCTAACCTACAGAACATTTGCAAGCTAATTAAAGGTCACATATTATGCTAAATACATTCGACTATGGTTCTCTAACACTAATATGTGTCTGTAGTCTGTCTACAAACCCACCAATCATGAGAAAAGTCCATCCTCTGCGTATTCTGCCTGCTCCACTTTTCAGAAAAAGTGTGCTCAAACAGGCTGTTTGGAGATTTTCCCTTCATGACATCACAAAGGGCAGTAACCCCTCCCCCAGGTGGGTGACGCTTCCACAGCTAGGTGTTAGTTCTTACCTGAGTCTGCCTTCTCACCATAAACAATAGGACATGGAGCGAGAATCCTGAGCCACCCAAAGCCCTTCCAGAAAGGGGGCGTGGTCAGACACAGCTCATTTACATATTTAAAGGTACAGACACAGAAACAGTCTGTTCTGAGCAGGGCTGAAATAGAGGGGTTTATAGACATGATCAAATACAGGATCAGAGTGGATTTAGAACAAGACACTTCACACACATGTTTCTGGGACCTCTGGGAATTATTTAAACAGGTTGAAAAGGAGGATTATATGTAACCTTTAAAAGAATATGCTGTAATGTCAGGGGAAATATCCCCATGACTACAACATTTGACTTTCAGCTTTTCTGCTAACACTTTATTTTCAAGAGCATGGAAATACTCAGAGGCTTATGGTTGGCTTGTTTGTTGTAGGATGAACCACGGGAAGCACAAATCAAAAGATAGTACACTACACACATCCCCTATAGGCATTATAAACGATGCAAGAAAAACATGTATTAAAGAAAAAAACCCAGATAGATGGGAAATGAGAGGGATAAAGGGTCAAAGGAAGGTGCCAGCACTCATAGGACCGCTTCAATTCTCTTTTGAACTCTAGAGGAGTCGTGAAAAGAATTCTTACAAACATTTTCAATCATTTGGTGTCCAGCATACATTCAGGGATACTGCAACATTGCGCTGCCTAGTGGTTATGTAACATGCCCCATGTACCGCGATAGTGTTACTGTTTATGTTAGGGAGAGATTTGATGCTGTTTGGTCATCAAATGTTAACGGTTTGTCAGGAAGCTTTAAGACCGTCTCAGCTCCAGCTCTCGGCCTGTCGTTAGGTTGACTGAAAGTTAGGTTGAGACAGCATTTCCAGCATGGCAGATGCTGCGGATGAGCCTCTGAAGCCCCCTGCAGTAACAGATGTGTGACCTCACTTAGGCTCTGTCCAGTAATATTTACAGTCCATGGCTGTTCCCCACTTTCTCTCTCTTTCTTTCCCTGATTTCTGACTACTGTAAGCTCAAAAATAAACCTTAAAAAATGGCGCTATGTGTACAGACACGCAGTAACACACTGGTTTTCCTCTGAGATTTCCCCCTAGTAGTCTAAACTATAAACTTCAGACCACTCAAGTACTGACTGAAATTCTCCACAAACATCTTTTACAGAAAAATGCCAAATCCAGCCCTTAAAGTGGAACATAGCAAGTGTATTGACGTGAAATCCAATCATTTTACAACTCACTTTTATCCTCAGCTCAGTTCTGATCAGCCAGAATAACAGAACTTACATCAAGGGTGATTCAAAGGGACGAGTTGTTCGTATTTCTTGCAGCTAATGAGCCTTGCAACAGCATAGTGTCCTGCATGTATAACTTTGTACTGAATGAAAGTGGAAGTCGGCCCACTGTGTGTACTGAATAAAATAAGTTTTATTTTTGATTCTGCCTGCTGTGAAATGATCAGCAGGATCCTGCAAACAGTTGTTTAGTGAATTGAGCAGAACAAGCTTCAGTTTTTTGTTTCTGTCATCCTTACATCAAACATCATGTTTGATTGAATTCACAGCTGCAGCACTTCTTTGTTGTTACTGTGCACGCTGCAGATTCAGCTAATCCTCCACTCGTCCCACTGGAGACTGGCACTAAGTCTGCCACATTTGGCATCCAGGAGAGAGTCAATCCCTGACAGATTATTGCTTTCTCTTAACCTCCGATCCCCAACTTTACCATTCTTTGATGCCAGCTTTTCATTAATTTCACCGCTGTTCTACAGAGATGTACAAAAAAAACACATGTCGCTCAGTGTTTCAGCCCTATTGAGATAGGTGTTGTGCCAGTCGAGTTGTGTGAAAATGTACACGAATAAAACACATTATCTCGAGTAACAATTCAACTATGACTTTATTTATACATTTTTAACAATAAATCATAGTCCTCATTGTTGACAGTTTGCTTATAAAATCAAGACAGATTTAAAAAAAAAAAATAATCATCCCCCGTACATTGTGTGCTCATGATGACAGTAACTAATCAGACCTATTTCATTATTTTTACCAGGCTGTACAAATTTTAATTTCTGCTGTAAAAACAGGATTTTTTTGGCTGTGGTGTGTATTTAGAGAAAACAGATAGGTCTATGTAAAATTAGACATTAAACACCTCTAGAGAGCTGGAATGGAATTATCTGTGTGCTCGACTGTGAGACTGGCAGTCGACTGAGGCTCTGACGAAAGAATCGTTGAGTTCTAACTCGGCTCTAAGCCCCCCCCAGAAGATTGTATAGATTGAAGAGTTTGTGACTGATTTTTTTTTTTCTGATCGCTTTCATTCCAATCATTCTAGTCAAAGCAGGAACAGGGCTAAAATAAAGTTGCGCCATTTAGATCATAGACTGAATCTTATTGATCATGTAATCTGCTATTTGATCCCCTTTAAACATTTTAGACTCAGAGCAGCTGCCTGTCATATGGCAGACTATTTAAAAGAGAATAAACAGTTTTAAATGAGTCTCATTACCACCTGTTATTTAACAAATTGAGATGAAACAAAGAAAAAAAAGTCTAAATTGAGTCGCTTAAAACTCTTGTCACTTCAGGTGCATCGAGGACTACAAACGGGGACCAGATGGGAGGTCGTGCCTGCCGCTGTCTGAGGTCTGCACCGAGGGAATAGACTGCGGGGAGTCAGTCGACATCCCAGCTAACCAGACCGTGTTCGGAGACCTTTTCTATGGCTACAACAACCACACCAAGGAGAGCACCTCCGGACAGATCCTCAAGGCTACCTTTAGGTAAACACACAAGCTGTTTGTGAAGTGGAGCATGTGGGACATCGTTCTGCCATTTGTTTCTCAGCAGGGGAGCAGTCTGGCAGGTCCGGGCTCCCACTGTGGCGATGTCCGTGTTTCCATCATTGTTCTTGGAAGAGCTTTGGCTGAAACAGTCGGAAGGGGCAGATGTTTCTACGTGTACCAAATGTGTCAAAAGTCCTGGTTTGGTTAATTAAAAGTTATATGTTAAAGTATATTTAAGACCCTTTTAATTACAGCAAACATTGTGCTGTCTGATCTAAATGTAGAAAGAATACATTCAATCCACAAATACGTCAGAGTGAGGGGGGCTGCCCACAGCGAGCGCTCCTGAGCTGGTGGGTGGGGGGTTTGATGCCTTGCTCAAGGGCACCTCAGCAGGGCTCAGGAAGTGAAGTGGCACCTCTCCAGCTACCAGAACAATTTCCAGATTTGATCCGCACTGGGACTTGAACCGGCGTACCCTCTGGTCCCTACGGACTGAGCTGCTGCTGCCCAACAAAGACGTGATGTCAAATGTCTTCACCTTTAAAGCCCCTGTCTCATATTTAGTTTACCCCTATTTCCATGGTTACAGTGCAGTGATTTGTGTGCAGACCCCCTACAACATGCTGCTGTTAATAATGGTTAATATGGTCAAATATTCTTCAGCAAACATCGGTCAAGTAGAAATAACCAGGAGGTAAATGTGTCTCTTGAGTTTGTAATGGTTTACCAGATTGATAAAAAAAAGAATAATAATACATTTTATTTAGGGGGGGGGGGCTTTTAAAGCACTCAAGGTCATCTTACAAAGCAGAGATAAAAACAACACAGAAACAATACTTCAATGAAATTAACATTAAAAAGACAAATTTACAGGATGTATGCAATCATTGTGTAGAGGATTCATGAGACCGCACAGAGAATGATCAGACTGAATATGCCAGTTTAAAAAGATGTGTTTTTGAGTTGAGATTTAAACATGGAGAGAGAGTCGATATTACGGATTTGTGGAGGGAGGGAGTTCTAGAGGCGGGGGGTAGAGCGGCTGAAGGCAGACGGGAGGGTGGTGCAGTGAGGTGAATGGAAGAAGACCTGAGAGTATACAGTAAGTGGGTGTGTTGATGTGCAGGAGTTCAGAGGGTACAGCAGAGCGAGGTTATGGACGGCCTTAAAGGCGAGGAGCAGAATTTTGAAGTCGATGCGATATTTACCCGGGAGCCAAAGAAGCTGCTGTAGGACAGGAGTGATGTGATCAACAGAGAGGGTTCTGGAGATACTGAAGGCTTATTTCTTTATAAGGCGAAGAGGAGGAAGAGTTTAAGTTGATTCACTAAGAGTGATAGTAAAGCCTGCCCCTGTCTTTTATAAAACACATTACTCATCAGGTGAAACACTCATAAAAAGCCTTCCACCATCTCTTTGGAAACCCTCATGGATATTTCACCCCATGGATCCAAAGAGTTGCCGCGTTCCTTTCATGATTAGCTCAGGGTTTGATGTGGATGTGAACGCACTCTGAAGGTGTTTAATTATCAATGGCTGCATGCTGCAATCATTTCCTCTAAACTTAGGAAGTCAGAAGGTCAGCAAAGTCATCTTCTGTTCAGGAATTTAATTTGGAGCGCTCGTGGATTCAACCGCTCGCAGGCAACTTCCCCGCCTCGGGATCCGCTGCTGTAGTCATAGAGAGAGAGGTAGGGGCGGATGAAGCGGGAAAGTTAATATCATCAAGAATCTAAACCTCTAATGCTCTGATCTCATTTGAAAGTGCTTTTGAGTGGAGAGCGGGGTCTGAGGAGGCAGAGCACAAAATGCTTCTTGTGCAGATGAGGTGGTGGAAGAGGAATGGAGCGTCTACTGGGAGGCATGGTTAATGCAGGGCGTAATAATTACAGATGGCAGAAAATGAATTATAACTGACCAGGAGCCAGTGCGCTGTAATTTAGCCTAATTGGACCAGATGAACATTTGAAAGTAAAATGAACAAAAGTTACCAGAAGAGAGTATCGTACATGAACTCAGAGGGTCCTCTAAGGATTTTAGTCAGTGGAGCATTCACTCTCTGAGTAACTTCAACACTTACAACACAAAATGTATGTAGAAACACGTAGTTACATGTCAGAGGCTGCCTCAGCTAATAAATCTACATGACTGCTTTATAAATCTGTCCCCAAGGGAGCTAAATGTCAAACGTGGACATGGATACTGGACAGGCTGTGTCACTATATGTGGTAATGACTGTCATTGGCACTCAAAGTTATGTATAAGAATATGTTTTAATCCAGCTTTGTGTTGCACACCAAGTGGAAGTCTGTCATTTTATGTAGCTATTTAGCTACATTTCATCTGCAGTCAGGAAACAACTCAGAAGAATTACACCATCAAATTATTAGACCTGACAGAGTTACAAATAATTCATAGCTATATCAGTCATGTGCCCGGCACAGAGGCTTGTAGGGAGCAAAAAGAGATAAGGAAAGAAGCGGCCACCATTGAACACTATGTGGAGCTAATGTCCTCTCTCTTCAAAGGAGGCCTGAATTCATCACCTGCTCACCTCTGAACAACAGATACTAAGAAAAGAACAAAACGATTTGGACACTTGAAACTCTGGTACAGAATTATTTAAATCATCAAAAAGTGCACAGTCCTCATCAGAACTTGAATTTGGTGATGAGTACACCGCTGTATAGGATGAAATTATGATGGACAGCTTTATGTATTTTTTGATGTGTATCAACACTAAAACACAGGTGATAGGACTCACAAGCATGACTCTTGTCTTGATTAGGCTTGGCAAGGAGGTAAAAAACAGTCTGTACTTGAAGCAAGTAGTGGCAAACAGATCAAAAAAGGGAACAGGCAAAGTGGAAATCAACATGGAGAAACCAAAAAAGTCATTCACAAGAAACAAAGGCTTGTAAGCTCGACACGGAAAAAACACATGAGGGCAGGTAGTGGAGGATCTGAAACAAGAGGAGCGGTAAGTAACTCAAAATAAAACAGGAAATAATGCAGTTAGAAAGTAAAGCAAAAACCCTAAGACACAGAGCTGGACATGACATGATGTATCAAAGTATAGCTTAGTGCTAATTAGCTAACATTACCGTTAGCATTACCTAACAGTAGTGTCAGGATCAGTGACAGCTGCATCCAAAATGATGATCATTTATAAAATAAATTATACAACTGGTTAAAACACACTGGTGGCAACTGAGACTGATAACTTCTCTGTAACGTGCAACAGCAGGAAGTCCTTCTTGCCAACCAGGTGGGCACTTCCATAAGTGTGTGACGTCACGTAACAGCTATGAATTAACCTTACATCATACAGGATTTGAGCCTTACATCATCAGAAAAAAAGTACCATGTCTAGTGACCTCACCTAATCCTGCCTCCACGATTGGAGTAATCCACAGCTCCCCTACATTGCCCTCAGTCCTGGCTCGCCCTCTCCAGCTCCATCCAAGTGTACTTCAGTTGCCTCTGTATCTACTGACCTCCACAAGCTGTTACTGTGTCCCCATTTGTTTTTCCTCAGTGGGTCCATGTTAGGGCCTGTCCAGTTACATTAGGTTTGTCTTCTGCCTAATTTTGCAATCCAATCCAACCCAATCCACTTACTTTTTCCTTATCAGGGTGTCTGCTTTCTCTTTTTGTCCCTCTCTCCCAAAGATCGTATTTCTGATTTATATTTCGCCATTTGTCTTCAAGACGATTCTCATGCACTTGTTTACGAAGGTGACGATTATTTCCTATACCAGCTATTTGTACTGTAAGCCTGGTGTTAAATATGTAAATGATCTAAAGTTTGATCCAAAGGCAAGTGGACTTGGTTAAAGATCTTGAAGACGTTTCACCTCTCCTCCCCCGAAAGGCTTCTTCAGCTAACTGGTGGACGGGGTTTAGAATTAAATCCTCTGTGGCTCATTAGCATGCTAATGATCAAGGATGACTCACAAGAGAGTCGTTAGTTATGTCGTTGACCTAGTTTCACCTTTTTCGCCGTTTTCACATATACACTCCTAAAAACATCTAGATAATTTCAGGAGGAGAGGACCGGATATTCTCCTGACCTGGCTGTTCACAAAAGCCTTTCGGAGGAGAGGTGAAACGTCTTCAAGGTCCACCACCAAGTCCAGTTGCCTTTGGATCAAGCTCAGAATTGACCGACACAGATATGTAAAATGATGTTTCGAGACATTTCCTTCAAGCTGTTCTAGGCTTCACAACTCGGCATTTTGAAGTACTTTGTTATGGTAATTTTATTGGTTATTTAGTGAGTGTTGATGAGATATTTGTCTTTTTCCCCTGATAAATTATCTTTGGCAATTACCGCCTTGCAGATGGACCATTGACCAGTCTTCCACAATTAATGACTTACAGAATTAGAGCTAATTAGCTTCAGCTCATAATTTCATTTTGGCAATGTTAGCCATTCTAACTGATAGATGTGACTTTCAGTTCTGACTAATGGAGAAACCTTCAGTGCCTTCATGTTTTGGAATTGCAACGAGGACGCTTAAAGTTGAGACTTTTGCAAAATGGACGTGGACCAATTGATAACCAGCCACCAGAACTGAGCCCTAATTACCAAAACGTCTTTATCTTTTTTTGTTATTAAGTTTAACTGATTCTAGGGACTAAAAGCCTGGACATCTATTCTTTCGCTACGTTGGCTTTTACTTTTTTTTTTTAAACCGTCTTTTACAAGACCCATCAACTAAATTGCTGCAGTACTCTTCAAATATAAAAAAAAAAAAACAGCAGGGGGGAGGAAGGGGGGGTCCAATTTTAATGCCATACAGCAAATTTAATGGCTCAGATGTAATTCTTCTTTGGAGAAATCTCTGAGGCTTTGCAAAAGTCGGTCCAAAACACTGGACTCAATGCTCTTCATCACTCTCACTCCCTCCACTCCCACTGGACAGTAAAACTGAGAACTGATGAGTGTGGCTTAACCGACTGTGCGTTAAACAACGTCTAGTCAGAGAAGC